TGTGTGTGTGTGTGTGTCCGTGTAGATGTGTGCACTGTCTGTCTGTATCTGCTGTTCGCCTCCTCTCCAAAGCTTTGCTGCACTTTGAAGACTGCTCTCTCCTGCAGCTATTTGCCAAGGAGACTCCAATTGACTTTACTCGTTGCAGCCTACCTGACGCGAGAAACAAGAATGTTTTTGCAGGATTTACCCTGACTTGTCTCTGCTGTTTCCAAAACTGCTGTGTGCTTTACTGCTGCAATGCTGGCAAGTATCCCCGAGCAGGAAATTAGACTGAGCTAACAACAATTTACTTAAGTAGAATGTCAACAACTGTGACTAAAACTGCACAATCAGCAGTCTCATCAGCAAAAACACAGAGCATCTCTATTACCATAAGTTTATTTCTGGTGTCAGGTACTGTGTAGTAGCTAATGAGAAGTGTTCTTTTGTGCACAAAAAGTGCTAAACACAAATTCAAAATGCAAAACCTTTTTATAAACTTCAGAAACTTCAATCAAATGCTCTGATGCAATGTAAACAAATAATATGCATGATACAGTGTGTTATATTATTATTATTATTATTGGTAGAAGCAGTAGTAGTAATAGCAGTAATATTATTTTCGGTATAAATACTGTAGGATGTCCCATTAACTACATGCAGTTTTCCACCCTTACCAAAATAGGTCATTATTAGTAACATATTTGTATTTTGTTCTGTAAAAATTACATTGCATGCTCTCTGCAACTTCTGCTGCACCAGGACACACAGTTAGATACATATACATACAGATACATATATGTTATGTAGTGTCTTCCATTTCAGGCCCATTACATGTGGTCCGTATGTGGGGAGATAGCAGACTGGGTTAAAATATTAATTCAGCAGCAGCAGACGGGTATATTTTTAGCATTAGGAGTGTAGCTAATAATTGGTTTAGCAGGTTACAAGGTAATAGATGGGGATGTAGGATATCACTATGGCAGTGATTTGTGTGTGCTAATGATGCAGGAATTAATGAATGAACTTAAATCAGAAGCCTGTGTTTTTGTGCTTGTGTTTGTTGTGCGCCTGTTTCAGTGTATAACTTTCTCTGTGTGTTCTTTCAGGGCAAAGGTCGAGATCCAGGTGAGAAATTCACAACACCAGACACCGTTACACACATCCTTCTCTTCCTCCACTGTAGTCTGTTTTTTCCTCACTGGCAATGTTTATATGCAGAGAAACTGCTCTTCCTAAAACAAATTACCAGATTTTGGTAATCCAGGCAACTGTAGACATGTACTAATACCGCATATTAGCAGCCTGCTGGTGTCAGTTTTGAAAACATTGCTTTCCCCTCACAAAATATGAGTGGCCTAGTATTTCTTTGATGCACTTTCTAGATGATTCTCACTTAAAGGACCAGTGTGTAACATTTTGGAGGATCTATTAGCAGAAATGGAATATAATATTCATTGGTATGTTTTTGGTAGTGTATAATGAAGGTTTTTGCTACCTTAGAATATGAACCACCATATCTCTACAGTAGCCAACAACCACTGTAGTTTCTACTAGTTTTTTCGTACAGTTTTCACACTTTTCCAGGGCTGAAACTTACTTATTAAGTAATGATTACTTTCGTTACTGGTTAATCTGGTAAATATTTTTCTAGTTAATCGCTTTATTGAGGGGAATTTTTTATTGCTTTTAAGAGCCACAGATGACTTCTTCACATTGCATATTTTGTCTGAAAAAATTGTCCAATACATAATAGATATTTCATATATGACCTAAAACAGAGAACTTTGGAAAATCCTTACATTTTGAGAAGCAGGAAACTGACAATGAGTTTCAATTTCAACAATTAATTCATTATCAAAAATATTGGCAATAATCTGTTAATAACCATTTTGTTATAGCATAGGTAAAATGCTATACTTCCTCTATTAGGTTGTTGTCAAGATTGGCAATAGGTTCTCATGATTTGCTGCTGGCAAGTTGTCCTTATTTGTTTTCCTTGTATCAGAGGTGACCTGGCTCACTCAGAGGTATACCTGGTAGCAACTGCTACAGCCGAGACTCGGTGTATGACTGTGAAAGGATCATTTAAAGAGTTTAAGATGAATAAAACCTGAGTCAGAGTGCATGAAATAGCACGTTAGAGGGTTTGTACAGTAAATGCAGTAAATATAGCCATTGAATTTCTGCCTCCCTGCTTCTGTGGCCCTCTGTCTCTCAATCTTTCTCCAACAGAATATGAATAACATACAGCATCCCTTGAATTGTGCGTGTATGTGTGTGCCTACACTAGACAGGGCCTTTAATCTCTCATAAACCTGGCTTCAACACTCATTTTCCACCCTCCATCCATTATGCTGCAGAAAATCATTTCTGACTGAAGACGCATTAAAATCAATAGGCATTTGATTGCCCCAGCCCTCGGCGTTTCATAATATTTCGAGGCTGCTCTCTTTGTCTGTTTTCAAAGGTGCACTAACACTTGGCTTGTCCTTGTGTGGATAGGAATGCAATTCATGCCCCCAAGACTCAATTCTTCATGGCCCTGTGTCTTTAGAAGTCCTATTCAGGCAAGCTAGCACATGTCAGGCTGCCAGCCTCAGTGCTACAGCGCTGGAACAGACGCTGAAAGAGAAGCAAGGCGGATATAGATGTATTAGCCTTCAATACAATGTTGTTGACTTCTCTATTATTTGCCTTCAGCTTTAACCTTTTCTAAATGCTCACACTTGAATTTCTTTTTCTGGTATTGTGTTCCTGAACAACACTATCGCAACACAATGCAGAGAAAGATATGCACATTTCGTTATATTGTGTTGGGGATATGAGATATGAACTTGGGATTTGTTTGGCATGGGTGGATGCTTAATGAAAAACACATTATAATTCAATTTCAGTGATTCCTTGGTCAATAACGGGATCAAAGTGGGCCATTGTGCAAAATCAAATAGCGCTGACTGAGGTCATTCCAAAAAAACAAATTGAGATTGATTAAAATTTACTTCTTTTAGTGCTAGTGCAAACCCTGACTAATATGTAATATATTACCTGGGGAGCAATCCGTTCTTGCACTGGCAGTTGTAGTAGATGAAAAAGTATACATACTATGAACTAGCTAAGAAAATGGAGGGAAATGGTGACAGATGTATTACACAGCATTTCAAAAGACAAAACCAATTACCAAGTATAGTGTACTGAAAAACCATGAAAATTTCCCTAATCTAATTCATAATTAGTTATGGTAAATGTGATTAGGACTAGTTTTCATAAAAA